TGTGTCTTTCTTCTATATATCTTCTATATATTGGGATTTAGGGGGAAATGAAAAAAAACACTTTCACCACCAAATGCTGCTGTGAGTAATTTTAAAGTGACAACCGCTATGAGAGCATGCTACGCCTTCGTAGAATTTTTTCATCATCTAATACTGTTTATTATTCGAATCTACTTAAAAGAATATATGTATGTTATTTAACAATGAACTGTCTCAAAGTTTCCTTAAAATAACATCAAAAATCGAAATACTTTTTCTCCAATTCTTCGTCAAGTGTAATGTGTTCTCACCGAGTACATATACTTAAATGCTTATAGGTCAAAGGGAAACAACTCCTATTTAATTCGATGTAATAGTGAATTATTGATATCATAAATCAACAAATTTGATGCACGACTTGATATCAATGAGCCAGACGCTATAAGCATTTAAGATCATCAAATAAAATCACATGTAGATGTACAATATATCATCATAATGTTTTTCTCTGATGTACATAAATATCAAAATGTCGTACACCGTGAGGAGTTTTGAATTATATCAAAAGCATCGAGTGATAAAATTCATAAGCAGACCTCTTTTTATCTTCACTGCCGTATCAATAAATATCAAAATAGCCATCCCTTGGATGCCCAGCAAATACGTCCTTGGAAAATTCTAAATGTCCGGTCCGGTGCAATACGCTTGTCCAATGTTTTTTTTTCACTAAATAGTTGCGTATACCTCAATAACATTAAACACGTGTTGGCTATTTCATATTAAATACTGGCTCTGAACTTGTTTGTGGTTTAACGATGGAATAGGGGTTAGAAATGATTCATTTTCATCTGCAATCTTTCAAGATACTCCTTAATTGATTGTTTATTTATAAGAATATTTCTGCCGTTTTCCACTTTGACAGTAAGATCGAACTATTAATAACAACACGTTTTTATATTAAAATACTGACGATTCAAAGAAGGCTGTGTAACAAAGCATAACGTTGCCACTACGCATAAGAGATCCTCTTTCGAAACCCATTTAAAAAGGGGCGGGACACAGCGAAAGAGAGCCTGCTCACTCAAATTACTACGCTGAACTATATAAACGAAGAGTTCATTACTTTGTGTAAACGTGTGTAATATCGTCATCTTCTACATAATATACTCAATACTTTTTATGAATAACATCCTTGAGAGTTTAAAGTACGATTGTGTATTTAAAGGCATAGTTTTATTGTACCGGATGTGCACGTATCACTACGTGCCAATATGCAAGATGGCGGGAGAAATGCATGTTTGATTACAACTAAAATCAGAAGTTGATGAAACAACAGATGCTACTTGGATTCGTAGTTTAATTTACATATATTCAAATATATATAGTGTAGAAACAATTGGTAACTTATTTTCCAGGTATATATTTTTGGTGCTTTAAAAATTAAGTAATGTTACCACATTGTTTTCTTTCGTATAACGTTATACCACACAGCGAAAATGAGGGAAAGCTAGTCCTATTTTCGGTTTGTAAGATCACAATAGATTTATCGTTTATAACTAAGATGTTAGTCAGTAACTATGTCAAAAAGTCATAAATGTTTCTCCAACCGTCCACACGTAAAAATAGTTGCCTTGATTATCTCTAGGAAAGGCTGAACAAATTACAGAACTTCACCTGTTGGCAGGACCGATCGCGAGTGAACTTTCGAACTTGCGATCAGACGTTATCGGCCCAGACCTAAATCGTAAATACTGCTGTTTGTATATTCGTTAGAAACTTCCTGAAAGAGACTTCATTTGCGTCAAATCAGAAATATGAATAGGCCAATTAAAGTGACTGTGAATCGAAGTCATTTTAGAATAAATATCTTAAAAGAATACCTATGGGTAACATCGTACCCACTCTCCTTCCTTCAAAACCAGTCTTGCCTCTCAGTAACCAACATCCAATAATTATTTCTCATCTTGTTTTCCATTCATTGATGGTATATAATTCTTCTATTATGATGTTTTTTCCAGTCACTAACATTGGAATTGTATATTTTAGCTGTTCATGAATGCCAAAATTAAGTCATGCATTTAACACTTTTCTGTATTTCAGTTTTTATCATGTGCTAAGTCAATATTTTCAAAATTTTGTTTATTTGTCACTCATTGAGGTTTCATTACAGAGAGTTGTTTTGATGATTTTAATATTTGTTTTAAAAGGAGAATATCATGTCTATTCCAAACGCATTCTATTGAGCAACAGTAATTAATAAAATGATATATTGATAAATTAGTAAAGAATTCATTTTTTTGTAATTCAGAGTTGATGTTTCAGAAATATTTTTTAGATCAATCGGGATGAACAAGTCGTCACCTAGATGTGACACATTGCTTGGTGTGAACAAGTCTTCGCCACGAAGAGAACATCTTTCAGCTGTAAAGAAAAGTTCCCCTCGCCGAGATGTTACGCCTCCTATTCGATCGTCTCCTAGAAGGGAACCAGCTTCAGTTACTAGAAAAATGTCACCAAAAAAAGACCAGGCAATCGCCTCCTGTAGGTCATCACCAAGGGCAGAGTCTAAAGTACAAAAGGTGTCTGAGGGAAGATTATCAAGGTTTGATGTCCACTTATCGCCAAAATCAGAGACAGTAACAGCTTCAACATCATTTCAGTCATCCACATTGAGTTCAGCAAAGACTGTTTTACCAAGCACACCTACATCTGTGACGCCTTCTCCATGCAGTTCCACCTGTAGCTCACCTGAGAGGTCAAGTCCCAAAGGTCCAAAGCCCATTTCCAGGTTGGTCTAGTAACCTATGATACATGCCTGATGTAGGTGGACTAAGGTTGTTACAGGACTGTTTTGTTATGATTCACATAAAAGTATGCAGGAATCATGAGATTTCCTTCCCAATTTTCTTCCAAAAATGAGATATAATATCCTTTACCGAATGATCAGGGAAAAATCAAAATTATGCCAAATGATGAATAAACTAAATAGGAATTAAGAATCAGTTTCATCAAATTTTATATTCACAGCATTTAATTATATAACATTTTTCATTAATTAAAAGAAAAAAATCCATCCAGACAAATTATGTAATTCATTTTTCTTTAAGACAGGATTTTCCTTCAAAGACTCAATTAACAAGACACCTTCAAAACTAATGAAGTTAGGATGGGAGTCCCTGGGGTCTTAAAATCAGTAAAGTTTTAGGTCCCAGGGAAAACTCTGGTTTGTCATGGTAATACTTTGCTTTCTGTTTTTTTTCACAATCACAATTGGTCTGTCGTTAACATGTTAGCATTATTGGCACACATCAGTGATGTTTGTAAAGTATATGACAAGCCATTATAACATGTTAAGCCCATTATTTTAACACTTAGGGTGGCATTGGCACTAACTATGTCGGAGAAATCAAAGAAATCCTCAACATCGACTAACAAGGGAGCTAACAAATCTACTAAACGTGGAAAATTCAATGTCGGATCAGAGGTCTTAGCCAGGTGGAGTGATGGTCTGTTCTACCTCGGAAATGTACTGAAAGTAAGTGTTTATTGCTTAGTGACATGATTTGATTAGGACATGTAGGGTAAATTATCATCACAAATAGTTAGATTTATCCAAAGTTGACATGAAATTATTAAGTTAGATTTCATAATTTGCATTCACTGTGTATTTTGTTTCACAGCATTTATTTTAATTTGATTATCTCTTATCTTTCTATCTTCTTTTCTTTTTCTTTTTTTATCGCCTTCTAATTGCAAATGAAGACTATGTGGTTTAAAAGTAAAGAAATTACTAAATTCAGTTTCTATTTAAAATGTTAACCTAGAAGAGTGATTATTTAATCATAGCAGTTAGACTTCAGTTTTTTCAGGTCTGTCTTTATATCATCTGTTTATTTTGACAGGTTGAAGATAAAGAAGGCAAATGTTTTGTGCAATTCGAAGACAAGTCTGAATTTTGGGTGTTATTCAAAGATCTTCAAAAAGGCAAGAATTTTGTCTTTTAGATTCATTAATAAGCAAGAAGTCAGTGATCAATCTGATTTTATTTCATTGAGTCACTGACTCAAAAGTTTAAAAAAAAAAATTGAGTCCTGAGATGTTGTCTTGAGATTGTCAGGAGACAAAATTCTTTAAAATATTGTCCTCCAGTTTGATAACTCCATTGCCCATTTCATAATTCTCTGCGGTAAATTTGTAACATTTTTCAGAAGATATTGTGAGGCTTGGCTATATTTTGAGATTATGGGATCGGTCTGACAAAATAATAGGTATAAACCACTTAGTTTGATACACTGCCTTTGTCAATGTTTATTGCCAGGGGTGTATAGATACACTAGGCGACGCCCACGGCTACCAAACTTGTACCACTTACTCCAATGAGTTGACCTCATAAAAGGTTCATCATATCAAAAGAATAAAACTTACATTTTGAGTTGATAAAACTAATGGTTAGGTATTTGCTGTTCATGCTTTGTTAAGAGCTGTGAGACAAGAAGTTTTTCTCTGATATTATTCTTTGTTAAGTGTTGAGAGAAACATCAGTATAACTCAATGATAATGATATTCCTTTAATATTTCTGATCTTAAACCATTGTCAGGAGCTAAGGAAGGAGAGATCAACTGCTGTGTGTGTCAGAGCGATGTGTCTGATGCCCCTAATGAAATAGTGCTATGTGACAACTGTGGTATTGGTAAGTTTTGTCTGTATAAACACTCAAGTCTGTCACTTTTCTGTTGTACATCCTTTGAAACAGACCAATCAATAAATGTTTTGATGAAAGTATCCTTCATAATGACTTTGATATGTCTCTGTAAACATGCCTTCTTTCCTTTATGACACCTATAGAAGTGACAAAACAAGTTTGTGTTACTTGCCAGTTATGCATGGTCATATGTAGGAATTGACTGATGAAATGTTTATCTAGTGTCAATAATATAGTGATAATTACTGATGCATGCTAGAATAACAAACCAGCTGTAAGGTGAAGTTTACTTCGTTATTTGTCTCTATTGTATCTTATCTTAATTTTGTACTGAAAAGCGCTATTCACTTATATATATATATCTTATATATACAATCTTCAGCACTTAAAACATTAACATGAATATCAGTGTGAGCATATGAAGTTCCATATTTTTATGGTGATACACAATTAATTGTCTGTGTTAGCATGTACTTTGTATTGTTCTTTGTCAGGATACCACCAGGAATGTCATAATCCTACCATTGATGATGAATATGTGATCGAGGAGGAGGTGGAGTGGTGCTGTCGCCTCTGTATATTTGCTGCTGCAGTCAAGGTATTATACTTTAAGGGAGATAACTGTAAATTTGCATCTGCAATATGTTATTAATGTTTTTACAAAGTCTCTGAATGGTATTCATTTTGGTATTTTAATTAAAGTATAATCAGATTATTTTTTCAAGAATAATGTCTGGGAAAACTCTGTACAATTTGGATCAATTGATTTTGATACAAGCTTACAGTCAGTGGACATGAATTTCCATTGATTGCCTTGTGTACCAGTTTTAGATAAATACAAGATATAACCAGTTGTTGTTTCTACGCTGAATATTAACATGTTTAAGACCAGACTGAATGTAACATGGAGTAGTTAAAAAGTTGTGTTTAGTCATTGTGCATTTATTGTCAGAATTTAAACATGAATCAGGAGATTACATTATAGGATCTAGTGTAAAGGAATTTACTGTTTCTCTTTTAGAAATTAACTATGAATATATGTTAGTACATATGTTTATCATAACAGGAATAGTTGAGATCCAGTTGTGTTTTTTGAATTGTGTATATATTTCACAGACATTATTCTCTGATTGTCCTCTCCATAATACCAGTGTAGGACTTAAACCAGCCTAGAATGTATGTTTATGCATATTTTCTGAGCTGTATGACTGAAAACATAACATATCACAAGAAAGTTGTAATAGAGGCAGACATTATTGATGAAAAGTGACTGATAGATGAAGGAAGTGTATAATTAATGAAAGTTTGTATTTGACTTTCAGAAAGGGGGTGCCTTAAAGATTGGAGCTGATGGTAAGTGTCCATTTACCAGAGGTAGAATGGTAAAGGAAAGAAGTGACTTCTGAAGCCAAGTTTCTTTTAGCGTATCCTTCTGTAGACAAAATAAGGATATACAATGTGCCTGCATGAGTAGATTCTTATCTTTTTTGCTTAATTTATTTATTTCAAGAGAGTGATGTTTACTGTGAGGTATCCTAAACACTAACAAGGTTAACTACAATGTTTACATGCTTATTTTTTGTTTTTGAAGAATTTTTTCACCTGGCTTGTTACAGAATTGCTTTACGGAATTTGTGATGGTTTAAATTTTGATACCTTGTAACCTATGGACAGATTTGGTTTCATTTTCACTTCATAACATCAATGATCATCATACCACCTGACTGGATTTCGGTTGTCATCTGTCAACTTGAAAATTTATGCACAAATTATTTGTGGAGGATAAAAGGTCAAAGGTCATTGTTGACCATTTTTGAAATAAAAAGCTTTTGTATAATATATTTAATGAACTCCTATATAGATTGACCTCTCTATAGATTTAGATCAGAAGAAAAATGTGATAGGGTCAAGGGTATGTCTATTTGAGCTCCTGCTCAGCTTGTTTTTATTTCTAATGAATCAACATTGACTTGACTTTGCCTGTGAAATTACAGTCTGGCTTGTCTGTTGCAGGTATCTTGTTTTGACTTAAGGCTGTTCCAGAATTGAAATGGGGAGGGTGTTCAGGAGGCACTTATTTTTTACCCCAACCATCCATACAATAAAATTTATTCAATATCCAAGCATGTATCAGGGTTTTCCATTATTGTGTTAGTAGTAGGCTGTGTAGTGAAAGTAGAAGGCTGGCAAAGCAAGCTGACCCGAGCCGCAACGCGGCAAGGTGGGGGTGGCCTGCCATGTATGTGTAGTCGTGTACGGAGCATTATTACGGAACTGGATTGGTTTAGACGGCCAAATGATCAAAGTAGCTGGTCAAATTGGCCAGCGACCGGCTCTTAAGGAAAACCCTGATGTATACAAATAAGTTTTTGCCAAATCCAATAACCTTTCTAATTATATTTGTTATTTCAAGCAATCCCCAAAGAATTTTATTTTTCATGTTAACACCACACCCACAAAATTTCATTTTGTTGCTCTTTTTTCACAGCCAAATACATTTTGTCAGTTTTCCTAAAAATTTGATATAACAATTTTCCCAAACTGTATGAAAAAAATCGCTGAATATTTCCTATCTCTGCTTTCATTAAAACACTACCGGTAAATATCAACATTTCAAAACAGAAAGAAAAACCAGTATGTCACCACACATTTCAAACTTGGAAAGTTGTCAGTTTTTAATCTGTTAGCTACCATAGGTATACTGCAAGTTTTCAAGGAATGCAATGGACAGAAGTACTAGTTATATGCCATTTTTACTTCATTTATTTAAACTGTCATTATTTTCTCGTGTGATCAAATCCAGGCAAAAACAAAATTTGCTTGCGGCTAGTCCTTTACAACATATTGATGTGATTTTGTATTACAACATACAACAAGTCTGCTTGACTAAAACTAAAATTGCCTGTCACAAGATTTTCAGAACCAATACAAGTTATCTCCCTTTTTTGGGGGTTCCAGTTTGAGCACTTGCCCATATGATTCAATTTCTAATGGCACCAATAACACATAAAATACATTTTAGTTTTGTCCCAACCACCCACAAAATGCCCCCACTCATTTAATTCTGGAATCACCCTTACTGTATTCTGCTTTTTTATGTTTTGCAGCAACTGCCTTGCAGAAAATGAAACGGGCGTTTCCTTATGATGTAAGTATGGATAAGATTACAATAATGATCCAAAAAGAAAATCAATTTTCTGGCGGCGGTAATTGCCATTGTCTGATGAGATTTTATTTATAATTGTAATCTGTTACTTGAAAAAGAGTGATTGTATAAATAAAACTCTCAGTCTTCATCTGTTTTTGATTGACTTATTGTGTTATGAATGTAGAAATTACATTTAGAGTTGACATAAAACTTATTTTGTAAAACTTAATTTGCTAAAGAAATTTGATAGGCATTAAGTCATCAGAGTTAAATAGTTCTCATACTATGATGTATTTTTTCTCATGAATGCATATATATGTTGTTTCATAAAAATCTTCCATTTTGAAAATAACATGTAATTGCACGAGAGGTTCATTATTCATAGCTGAACAAATTGACCTGGGATGCCCAAAGAAAAACCAACGTGGAGCAGTGTTACTGTTACTGTGGTGGTCCAGGAGAGTAAGTATTGCCTTCTTCAGAACCTGTATCACTTTGAATCATTTTGTAATACAGATATATCCAAAAATGAAAGACATTGTTTTCAGTCTGTGTTATAGATAACTACTTTGATATAGCTTTTAGGTCATTGTGTTTCATTGTTCGTCAACTGCCTTGCATTTTTTTTTTTTAACATTTTAAAATTCTACTCAAGTTTAACCAGTGGGATTCAGCTGAAACTTTTCAGAAATTCTACTCAAGTTTCATCAGTGGGATTCAGCTGAAACTTGTCAGAAATTCTACTCGAGTTTCACCAGTGGGATTCAGCTGAAACTTTTCAGAATTTCTATTCAAGTTTCACCAGTGGGATTCAGCTGAAATTTGTCAGAAATTCTACTCGAGTTTCACCAGCGGGATTCAGCTGAAATTTGTCAGAAATTCTACTCGAGTTTCACCAGCGGGATTCAGCTGAAATTTGTCAGAAATTCTACTCGAGTTTCACCAGCGGGATTCAGCTGAAATTTGTCAGAAATGATCTCAAGATGGTACTGACCAAGTGTTGTGATTTTTGGGTCATTCTAAAATTCAGTATACCTACCATTTTGAAAAACTTGGTTTGTACTACTCTAGTCTCACTTTTGCCATTGAGTTGGAAATTTGTGGAGATTTAAAAAAAATAAAGTGAACAAAATGTTGTTATTTTTCGACCTCATCAAAAGTTCAAATCGCAACCAAGGCAACCATTTCAAAACATAATCATGTAATTACAGTTTTCCTGAACAACACATATTTTTTAAGTGATATTCAGCTGAAACTTGCCTGAAATGATCAAGAGATGGTCCTGACCATATTTGACCAAATATTGTTTGGGTTTGTTCGAAATTTGATATGGCTGCAGTCTTGAAAATCATTTTGAAATATGCATATGACTGCTACCAACCATGGGTCTATTGTGAAACATGTAGAGTCTTGTAATAAGGATATTCAAATAGTTTCTCCCAAAATCTACACCTTGCAATTTATCTCTAAATCAGTAATATTTTTCTAATCAATTGTACACAATTTTATTAATGTGAAAAAATTGCCCAATTTCAGCTGGTACTTAAAGATGCTACAGTGCTGTAGATGTAAGCAGTGGTTCCATGAAGGTAGGTTTCATCGTTTTCAGCCTGTTTAAAGTTGTACAGCAATTGATCTTTTTACATAGTGATGACATTGCCTGTCACTGAAATTATATGGAAGTTGTTGCCCTATTTTTCAGTTAAAAAAATATGAACCAGTGCATGGCTGCATGAATGTTTGGTATACAAACGATATGTATTGATTTTATAAAACATGCAGCAATATATGATTCGGATGTATAACATGAAAATGTGAGAAACATGAGTTAAATGAATATGTGAATAGCTGCACCACTGAACATGACATGAGTAAATATCAGATTTTTGTTTCTGTATGCACGGTACATTGGTGTGAAGGATACAATATTTATATTTTCTCTAGCCTGTATTCAGTGTCTAGAACATCCGTTGTTGAATGGGGATCGGTTTTATCTGTTTGTCTGCTCACACTGTAACTCTGGGCCAGAGTACATGAAGCGACTTGATCTCAAATGGTAAGTACAGCAGGCAAAAGACTGAAGCTTTAAGAAATTATAAATGTTGTTGAGTACCAAAAAAGTTCTTAATTGGAATACATAGAAAATATTACAGCATTTATTCAACAATTAGCTGATAACTGATGAAAGTCCACCTATATAAGTTATGTTACAAGTCAGTAATGTTACACCATGCTATGAATTTGAGTAAGAAGTAATGTTTTGGTTACTTTGGATTAGATGCTGATGAAATCTTCGTTATATGAATTGATACTCTCAAACATCTATAAATCTGTTCTGTGTCGTTTATTACAGAATTCCTGTTGTATGTAATGCCACTTAATTGACTGATATTATTTTCTGAATTATGTTTTCATGTTGACTCTTGGGGTTTCAGGGTTGACATTGCACACTTGGTTCTATTTAACCTCACGCTCAGTGGCATAAAAAAATTCTACGACTTTGATGCAGTCATGGCCTTCACCAATACCAACTGGAACAAACTACAGCTCAGCAGCAAGGTACAGATTTTCAAGTTACCAACATTAAAGCACCTAATCAAAACTCAACCCAGTAGTTAATCGACTATAATAACAGTTCAGGAAGACTTCATAGAATAAGTGAGAGGACTATGTCTTGTAGTTAAAAAGTTATCTTTTCCATAAATAAAGAAAAATTAGAAATATCTTACCAGTTTTAAAGAAAATATAAATATTATATATTTTCTGCAGGCACAGACTCTCGTAAGATTTAGGTAGAATAAAATGTTGAAATTATTGATAGCAATGACTATATTTTGACAAATTATACTTTAGGCGACACAGTGAAATATTTCATGAAGTGTTTACAAAGAGACGTAGAGTCTGACTTGATGACGAATCCCCTTAACTGTATAATAAATGTGATGTTTTTGATTTCGCTTTTATGAACTAATGTTTCTTAATAGTCAAAACTATGCTTCTCTGACAGAGGTGCTTACATGTCACAAATGATTCAGCTTTCAAGGGCTTTGACTTTAACAGTTAAATTTTGTTTTTGGGTGTTGGTGGGTGATTTGTCTTTTTGTTGACATGTCAGTATTTTCTTCTTTGACAATTCAAATTTGTTATCGTTATTTCTCAGACAGTACTTGAGAGATCATTCTCAAATTTTGAATCTCAGTTTTATTAATACATGTCCATACACCAAATAGTTCACAACAAAGATGAAAGAAGGGAAAAAATATGACTTACATATGAATACCAATAGAGATAGTACAATGGTGGATGCCAAGATCCTACATAGATCTTTTTTTTCACTTGTTTTGTGCATACCTACAGTGATCTGTTTCTGTTTATTCATATTTTGAAGCTGTAGACGTTCAATGCTTAGTCAAATTTATAAGACAAAGCAAGGAAACAAGACATATAAAATATGCAAGGTCTTCAAATGTATGATTCATGATAATTTCATTTACTGAATAGTTACACCAGCAAAGATAGACACTCATTATATTGATGGGTAAATTCATAATGCTGTGGGAATTTTCAAAATTATCCTTACATGAACAAATTGTGTATTAATGCAACAAAGACAAAAAGCAGCACTACGTTGTTAAATGTTTATTAATCTTACAGATGGCTGAAACACCTGAAGAAGAAAGGCGGAAAAAACTGTATGATGTATTGAAAGGTCATAAAACAAGGTTTGTATAAGATGGTAATATAAAGAATGGTATCTACTGTGTTTAACTGGAAATCTCTTGCATGTTCAGGGTTAGAAAAATCCACTCGTCCGCTCATCTAGACGAGTCAAAGCTACTTGCGGACGAGTGATTGTTTCAGCTACTTGTCCGGCGGGGGAGTGAAATTCGTAGTTCTAACTATTGAATTTTCAATAATAAATTACGTTTATCAACTTAAACACTCTTACAACGAATTTAAATCCACCGATAGTCGATCAGATACATGGATGTAGTATCCTTGTTTACACCACTTGTTAAGACTCAGGCTGATCCAGACTACGCGAAAACCTATTACGTCACCACAAATGTTGCAAACAAGGTTGTTTTGTGTACATAGTTACTGTCAAAAAGTCGATGTTCTCGCTCACGTTAACAGTGAATTAAATATGAGTAAAACAATAAAAGCAAGTGTTAGGGTCAAACATTTGATATAGAAATTGATAATTAAATTTGTGTTCCTTAAATTATGTTTTGTTGCCTTTTTTCTTTGGGTGAGTGAATATTGGATTCGGGCAAGTGAATTTCAAGTTTCACTTGCCCGACAGACGAATAGCTGAAAATGGTTTTTTCTAGCCCTGATGTTGGTGATATATTCTTAGTATAAGTTTGTATTTCTTCCTCCCTGTAATTGACTGTTCCAAATAGAGACTATTATTATTACATAAAGAAATTGTACATGATAAGCCCATAAGTGGTATTCATGTTGAAACAAAACTTTTTTACACTCCTTTACGAGACATTGTACAAATTTCTGTATGTGAAGTAGGACTGAGCCTCAGGTAATTCAAGCCGAAGTAGTTCTTTTTTGCTTCTTTTTAAAATGAATCAATAATATCTTCTGAACTTTTGCTATTACTTCAAAGCCATAGCAGATTTTTACAATAGCCTTTTGCATCCTGGGATGGATGGTTTGTTGGGCTATAGGTCAAATTCTAGAATTACTGGCATGCTTGTTTATGATATGAATGGCTTTGTGTAAGGTAGTCAGGTAGATGTTAACTACCGGTAGATTAGTCAAAACTGCCCTTTTTTTTTGTCAATAATGGAAAATTTTAGGTTCACATCCAACCGGGAAGTGAGGAAGAAACACACAGTCTGGGGCCTAAAGATGAGGGCTCCACCCCCTGGTCCCACAATTATACTCCCAGTGGATGGACAAATCAACGAAGAGGTTATGAACTCCCTGCAGGCCAAAGGTCACAAAACCAAATGCTTTATTCCAATTCAGTGGTTAGTATCCTTGTAACAGCAACTTGTGTTAAATATGTGTACTTGAGTATTGAATTTCTTACATGATGCTTTTGATACAGGATACTTATTATGTCTCCAGACAGATTGAATGATTTTGTAAGGAATAACTGAAAGTCTAGTTTAATGTTTAGTAACAAATTCTTTAATTTGCTTTACAGTGGAAATTGCTGAATATCACTTGCCATTAGTCAGAAGAAAATGTGATATTAAGCAAAATGTGACATTAACAGATCTATTATGTTTTTCTATTTGTGAAAAACTGAAACTTTGTGTAACTTTTGGTTAATAACCTGTGTGTGGTTTATTTGTAGTTCGCTAAGCCAGAAGACGGCTCTAGTGCTACCAAGGTACCAACTATTCTAACCTTGTTAAATGTTTAAACTCACACTTTACAGACTCTGTTGGCGCTAGGCTTCAATTCAAATGAGCTACATTGAAAACAACAGATGTAGATTCTTAAAGAATTCTTGTTTTGAATATTGTTTTCAAATAACTTGCTTTGTATTATGTAAAGCCCGCGCAAACATGGTCAGAATTTGGTTTGTTGTTGAAACGTTTCCTTACATATTTCAAGATGAAGCCTAATTCAGGGGTAGGTGGAGATATTTCCAACTATAACATTTCATGTTGGTTTTATTGACAGGTATTCAAGAATGCCATAAAGTTTGCTTAAAGTCTTCTGAAGTTGATCTATTGAACAATAGGCTCGGTATAAACTTTTAATTCTCTTTAACTCAGGCTTTCGAACCCAGAACTCATAGTGTTTCATTAATGAAAGTGTTTGTCCAGGATTGTGTCTTTTAGGTCTTAAAGTCAAAGTTGGTTATTAAAATTTGGTTTCATTTAATGTCAAAGGTTTAGGTTACTGATGCTGTTAATATAAACTTGATTTTGATACATTAGTAGTTTTCTTAAGGTTATCAAGCTCAAAAGGTCATACAGTGCTTCCTAGATACTGAAAATGCTTGCTTGGGATTGATTTAAAATGAAGTCCCAACATATTTGGTATGCATAATGTGTAACTTGCAAAGCCTGACTATGATAATCAGCTTCTAATTCAATAATAATCTGGTTGTGACAATATTACATTACAAGTTTTTGCTGTTTATCTTCTCAACCGTGCCACAAATCTGATACAACATTGCTTGTTGGTCATGACAGTGTTACATTACAGATTTACGATGTCTGTTCTTCTTAACTGTGCCACAAATATGTTACAACATTGCTTGTAATTCTAGCTCGTCTATAAACAATAGACAACCTTAATCTGAAATGGGATATTGTTTTGATTCCACAATTTGAAGAACTTGACAAATCAGAAATGTGTCAATCACTACTTGCCTCTGAAGCAAATAATCGCTGCCATGATTGTCTGTGCAAACCAACTAACACCATGCATACCAAATTTGTTGACCCTCTGTTTACAAAGCTTACAGTCCTCTGAAGACACCAATGGGAAGTTAGTTGCGGTTAAGGGGTCTGTATGTAATCCCTAACCTGAGCTTCACATACAGCGTTTCCTTTTCTTTTTAATTGAATCGATTGTGGAATTGTCTGACACAGATTAAAGCAATCCTGACAAATTAGAAATTATTTTGTTAAAAACATTCCTGGGTATTCCTTTTGTTAAGACCGTGCAAAGTATTTTTTTTAAAGCAGTAACACTGATTAAGCATCAAACTTCAGACAAGATATTGAATGGTTGCAGGTCGGGATCAGGCGTACTTAGAATTAGGAGACCTTTGAGGTAGTAGTGTAATGATAGGTCAACTTATCAATGTATTGCAATAGCTTTGCTCTCTTTAGAAATAAATTGATGAAGAGGAAAAGCTTGAAAAATAGAGAAAAGATGGGCCTGGCATAGAACCAAAAAAGATCATTAAATTGTGGGTGCCAAGATTCCTTTTGGATCTCAGAATAGTTCAAGTTCTACACCAGATTTTGTTGTCATTTGTCATTCTTGACCAATTTGGAAGGAGGGGAATTATGTGAATGTCCTTTTATGGCAGTTTTGTTGGTGATTATGTGCTTATATGCTTGTTGTGCATGGTTACTTGTCTGAGAACTTGAGATTTGAGATTGCACCAGATTGATCTTTCCCAAATATTTACAAGTTCTTTTTGGTCCCTATCTGTGCTTAAGCTGACAGTCAGCCATCATGGAATAGAAAAGTTAATGTTATCAATATTCCTCGGGAGTACTGGATCAGTCAGTCTCAAAATGGTCAAGGTAGACCATCTTGGATTTTGACACATTCAGTTTAATTTTGCTATTTCTTTGAAAATGTTAAAGGTGACTTTCTCAAATTTAGTATTTTGATTTCTCATTTGTGCCTTCTTGCCTGAATTTAGTTGTAAGATTGATTTAGAAAATTCTTTGTATATGTTATCATTATTTTCATTTTCCATAAAATACAAAATCCTCAGCTATCATATGTTAGGTTAATTTTGTGACCATTCTGATGTTTTAGAGTTGGATGAATTTTCCTTTAGTGGTTTTTATTGGAGCTACTTCATGATTAATTTGCATGTCATTACAACAATACAACCAATAGTTAAGAACAAATACGAAAAAAAAACGTGGAAAAAATCCAAGTTAAATTAATAATGTAATAGGTCATATGATGATAGCCGCAAAGATACCTCTGGGATCTCTTTTCATTGGTCCAGAGGAAACGATAATCATGTTATATAGATATAAATACAATATGTAAGTCACCACTCGTCCGCTGAAAGACTGAAAGGTCGTAATAATGGACATAAAACCTGTTAAGATAGATAAAGTAAGTCACTAATCTTTTATAATTCATGAACAATATCTTCGATGAAATCACTAATTGATAAGTAAAAGATCTGAGGGGGACTTCTTATGCACACTAACGTAATCGTTAAGCTTTACAAACCTGTAGGTATTCTGGAGTTGAAATGTAGTATGTGTTTTGATATAGAATATATTACTTTCATTACATACATCGGATTAGTTAACAGCCATAGCTTATATTAATCTTCTCCATTTCAAATGGCAAATATGCATCATTATAAATAGATATGACTTTGCATCTACTTAACAAAGGTTGGAATAGATCTATCATTCAACTATATGACCGATTAATATATTATACACATATCATTAGCAATACTATAATTATAACACATGAGAACTAATCATTCTATTTTATGGAGAAATACTTAAATAAAGTATAGTTTAATGTTTAATTTTGATATTGAACACAAAAGAAAATTATTAGTTATGTTTTTGTTTCCAACTCTGGACTTAAAAACCCACAACATTGCATAAACACATTTCTACCATTAATGATAGGTATTTGTTTGGGATCATCTTTTGATGTTACTAATTGGGATATATTTAGAATGTAATGATAATGAAGGTTTTGTCTTACCTGGATGGACAGGTGTGAAAGCCTATCATTGCGTTGGACAGCCTTATTACTTCTTGACACCTGTCACAGGTGATGAGTGTTGTAAAAACAACTCCGTTTGTAATTAGTGTTCGAGTACAATGTCATTTTTCCAATGTTGAGTTGGACAAAAGTTTCATTACTTACATTGGACATTATCAGAATAAGTGGGATTTACAATTGTAGAAAATCTATACTGTTACTTAATCTATTGAAAATATCAATCCCAACATGGGTCAACCCAGGAAGGAACATCGGTAGGCTTTCATCTCTTGCTCTAATGTATATATGATAACCCAAATTACCACTTGTAGCCAGATATGTAATTTGATGATTTCAAATTATACTATTTATTATGTAATTTTTTGTACTTCAACATTAGACATCTTAGATATTGAACCCCTTACCCCTTGTTTGCAAAATAGAATATATTTTAATGCAACATGTAATTTTGTTTTCAGTATTAGAATAAGCTTTTTTGTTATGAATTGTTTTTTTCAGCGTTAAGATTTTAATAACTTTAATTGAATATTCCAAAATGTCAGAACATTGAATATTTTTTAAAGCATAATTTAGTACTTCAATGTATAAAATGACTTAAAATATGAAATAAGAAATTTAAAAGTACATCTTCAGAGGTAAATGATATGTCAATGGTGTAATTAAAGATGGTGTTAATAAGAAGAATGTATGATTTTATAGTTGGTTAAAGGTGCTGGTATATTGTTATTGCTCTGTTGCAGTAATTCCCCTGTGCCTCTACGGTATAAGAAGAACAGTCATATGATGGATGAGTCTATTGCATTTAAGTCTGACAAAGCCAGGAAAAAACTACTTCAAACACTGGAGGTAAGTTTGGGTAATAAGACTTTAAGTGAACAGAAAATGATTAGATAATTGTCTAATTGATAATTGTTTGATCAACTGTTAACTGTTGAATATATGTTAAACTGTTCATCGAGTAAAATAATGTCTTTGCCTAGCTTAATTTTCAAAAGAAATTGCCCTGGTGATATTTTAGGTAAAATTTTCACAGAAATTTTGTGTAATTTGACCATAGATAAAGTCAATGCTACAATGAAGGTTAAATGGATTACAAAATGTCATTCTCAGTTATTGACTTAAACATGTAAATTTCCCTGTAATGACCTGTGTCGTTCTGTCTGATGTCATTCTCATGACATTTCAGTTGCTGAAGTACAAATATATTGCACAACAAAGATAGAAAAATTGTGCAATTTTCCAGGGTATACAGTTATGAAGATAGCAGGGCCCTTATTGACCTCTCTCAGTATTCTAGTTCACAAATACATCCAGTACATCCATTTATTAATAATTATACATGTACCCTGTACAGGAAGCACAACATCCTTTTATCAGCCTGTCCATCAGCATCAACATAATTTCTTAGAAACTGTTTGCTGTAGCTTTGTGATATTCTATCCCAATATTCCATCATAAATTTTTGGGTATAGTGCACACTCGGGTATAGTGTGCAAGTACGTTTTCGAGGTCAGATTTAAAAAAAGAAATTTGAAAAATATATATTATATATACATAATATATATACAATATTGATTATTGGTTACCACGGTGCTATGATTTATGTTTTGATCTATTGATAATTAGGAAACCACAATTAGCGTGACCCTCACATATCTAATTACCTTGTGTAAGCAAATTCACTCAGGTGCCTGACTCAACAAGCATGGAAAGCTGGGCTAATCAGATAATTAACAATTATTAACAGACTTTTTGTCAGAAAACGGTGATTGTTTTAACAGTCTTAAAATGTTCAATCTTACCTTGTCCTCATAAAGGCAGATGATATATTCAGTATTGGTATGATCTTTCATGGTATCTGTACCCATTGGGTATCCGAAGGTACTTAATGATAAATTGTTTACATCCACCTTGACATGGAGAAACTGGAGATGGAGAGAGCTGTATCACTTCCTATGCGATCGCCGAGATGCGGGCATTGCTGTCAGTACAACAGAACTGCGCCTGCGGGCAATGCAGATCCAAAGAGGTCATACAGAAGCAGACTTCAATCTGGCATCCTTTTTAAACAATGAGGAGGAATTCGAAGAATTTTAGTGACTGTGCATATTAATGAAAGTGATTGGTGACCGTGTTTAGTGAAAAGTAACTTCACTGCTATGAAGTGCTACCTACTTAGTGCTCTACAGAATTATCAGTTGCAAGTTTTTCTTATATATAAAGAAAAATAATGAATTGCAATTAAATATTTGAAATTTATTCTTTGTTGTTTTATCTTGAATCTATCATAAATAACCGACAACTCTAAATACAAGTATGTGAAGGGAGGTAATCCAATATGTTGGACAGAGAACTCTAGAATGATAACCCCTAGAATGGAATGTCCTTGCATATGGTATGTGCCCCCTTTTTGACACAACACATTTTTGCCTAAAAAAGTGCACACTATAGGCACAAATTTCTGGTAGTCACATCACTATGGTTAGATGTGCCAAACGCTTAACTTTTTGTTGCTATGCCCTATACAGAAAATACCTATCAATCTTGATACCATTGGTGGATTAAATTCAAACTTTTGTCAAAGGCTTCACCTAGTCTTGTATTATCATTTCTTATTAAAAGGGACTAATGGTTTGGTTTTGTTATTTTTTCTTCATATTTTTTATTTTGGGCAAGTGTTGTAATACTTAAAATTAGGATATTCACAAAATTATAGGTATAATTAATAATATATGTGATATTAAAAGACGATCAGCTTGAAACAAACTCTGGTCGACATTTGCTGTTGTCTCAACTGCCATTATCTATTTTGATTGGAGAATGCCGAGTTCATCATGTGACCTTGTTTTAACCCGCCACTTTGCTATGATTTCTAAATTTCCTGCATTGCACATGTTCAAAGCCTTTGTTTATACTTTCCCAATGATAATTATATGAATGAGTGTTGGGTCGCTCCAAAGGTTCAAGATGACTTATAGCGATCATGTTTCATCTGTTGTTGTGTGCCATCCATCGTATGTAAACTATATCTTTAAAGCCCTTCTCTTTCATACTTGGATCAATTTCAACCAAATGTGGTCTGATGCATCATTTGGTGAGAATAATCATTTCTTAAGTTCAGAATTTCGATTCCACCCCTAGTGACTTTGGGGCTGGGCCCCAAAAGGGAATTGAAGAGAGTATTTTGCTTCAAAACACTACTCTTTTTTAAATGCTTGAATGGAATTACGATAAAATTTGGTCTGAAACATCATTGATAGTGGGTAGCCATTTTCTTAAATTCTAAAATTTGATTTGACCCCGATGGACTTCGGGGCAGGGCCCCAAAGGGGAAGTTAGTCAATATTTTAATTCAAAATGTTCATCTTAGTGCTTGAATGGATTTCAACCAAATTAGGTTTGGAACATCATTTGGAGCGGATCATCATTTCTTAACTTCAGACAGATTATTTTACGCCTAGGGATTTGGATGGGGCCCCTAAAGGGGAAATTAGACAAGATTTAGCTTCAAAACACCACTCCTTTTTAATACTTAAATGGATTTCAACCAAATTTGGTCTGAAACATTATTGAGGATTGAGAGACACATCATTGAGGATTGGGAATCATAACTTATATTCAGGACGTTAATTCGATCCCTAGGGACCAGGGTTTAGGTTTGGCCCCAAAGAGGAAAGTTAGTCAATATTTTGCTTCAAAATGCTACTCTTTCTCATCGCTTGAATGGATTTCAACCAAATTTAGTCTAAAACATCATGAGGAGTGGGGAATCATTTCTCGCATTCAGAAAATTGATTTGACCTCTAGTTAATAAGAATGACCTTGATCAGCTTGAACGATCACAGGGATCAAATAGGTTAACATCTTTAAATAACTTCTTTCCTATAACCAAAAGACCAAGGATGATGATATTAGGCCTGTTGTATGCTAGGATGAAGGACTGCCAACTTTCTTTGTATAAACGACAATTACCTACATTCAAGGTCACAATGGCAATTGTGTGGTGCATGTATAAAGAATATGATTTCAAGTTTGCTGAAAATGTCTTGATGAGGCAACAATGACTTCTATGTTAGCTGTAGAGTAGTTGAGCGATACATTTAAGGCTTCTTTTGCCTGTTTTATATATAGGACTTTATAGTCTAATGACCGTTAAGGCCCATGGGTTTCTTGTATATATAGGACTTTATAGTCTGATGACCGTTAAGGCCCATGGGTTTCTTGTATATATAGGTCTTTATAGTCATGACTGTTAAGGCCCATGGGTTTCTATATATATATATATAGGTCTTTATAGTCTGATGACCGTTAAGGCCCATGGGTTTCTTGTATATATAGGACTTTATAGTCTGATGACCGTTACGGCCCATGGGTTTCTTGTATATATAGGACTTTATAGTCTGATGACCGTTAAGGCCCATGGGTTTCTTGTATATATAGGACTTTATAGTCTAATGACTGTAAGGTCCATGGGTTTCTTGTATATATAGGACTTTATAGTCTAATGACAGTTAAGGCCCATGGGTTTCTTGTATATATAGGACTTTATAGTCTGATGACCGTTAAGGCCCATGGGTTTCTTGTATATATAGGACTTTATAGTCTAATGACAGTTAAGGCCCATGGGTTTCTTGTATATATAGGACTTTATAGTCTAATGACAGTTAAGGCCCATGGGTTTCTTGTATATATAGGACTTTATAGTCTAATGACAGTTAAGGCCCATGGGTTTCTTGTATATATAGGTCTTTATAGTCTAATGACAGTTAAGGCCCATGGGTTTCTTGTATATATAGGACTTTATAGTCTAATGACAGTTAAGGCCCATGGGTTTCTTGTATATATAGGACTTTATAGTCTAATGACAGTTAAGGCCCATGGGTTTCTTGTATATATAGGACTTTATAGTCAAATGACCGTTAAGGCCCATGGGTTTCTTGCATATATAGGACTTTATAGTCTAATGACAGTTAAGGCCCATGGGTTTCTTGTATATATAGGACTTTATAGTCTGATGGCCGTTAAGGCTCATGGGTCTCTTGTATATATAGGACTTTATAGTCTGATGACCGTTAAGGCCCGTGGGTTTCTCTATATATATAGGTCTTTATAGTCTGATGGCCGTTAAGGCCCATGGGTTTCTTGTATATATAGGACTTTATAGTCTGATGACCGTTAAGGCCCATGGGTTTCTTGTATATATAGGACTTTATAGTCTGATGACCGTTAAGGCCCATGGGTTTCTTGTATATATAGGACTTTATAGTCTAATGGCCGTTAAGGTCCATGGGTTTCTTGTAATTAAGCTATATGTGTGATATCCACCTATGCTCCCTTCTGCCTCCAAAGGAAAACAAAATCTAAAACAAGCTGTTAATAAGACAACTAAAATAAATCCATGTTTTAAGTCATTGATTGGTCAGTGTTTAAGGTGTGTTGTTTGTCCTTTACATCATCATTGCTTATCTTGTTTGTCTTTCTCACACAGAATGGTGATGAGGATGCTTTCAGCCTCAATCAGAACTATGGTGGCTACAATGGATGTCTACCAATCAAAGAAGAACCAGACAGTCTTGTGTCCAAGAATTCCTCTTCACCCACAAAAGGTAAATCCAAAAAGAAGAAATCCAACACCTTGGAAAATATCATACCGGTGCCTACAGACTTTGAAAGTTTCAATCATCCTTTTAAAACGGAAGTAGAACAGAAACAGGAGTTTGCCAAACATCAGAGGAAGATGCAGATTATCAACTATCTCTATCAGACCTATGACAGTGACACGGCCTCCCAGAGTTCTTTGTGCTCAGGACTATCAGGTGATGACCCAACTAAAGGCATTCCTACACCCCCTCCCTCAGTCACCTCCTCCCAGTCCACTGAAACAGTGACATCATGCTCGAGTGAACCACGCCGGCAACGTAGAGGAAGAAAACGCAAGGACTGCGACGATGAGCAGGAAGAAACTGTAGCACCACGACGTAGTAAACGGGTTCGTGTTAGTATATCTGGACGTTACGATGAGATGCAGAATGTGATTGACACTCAAATGATTGAAAGTGTGAAATGTCATGTTGTTAGTATGGACCGCATCAAATCTAATATAAATAGTTACTTTGGGGCAACTGATCGCCTGAAGAAAGGAGAGAAGTATGATGTGTTGGCTAAACGTGTGAACTCAGAAGGAAAAGTACAATATCTGATTGCATGGGACGGCATAGTAGCATAGATGTATTATTATGTGTGTATGCATGTTTTGGCTGACTCCAGTGTCCATGCAGTTGTGCTCACCATTATTATAATACTAAAGTTTGACTGTTACAAGATGATTATCACCAATTAAAGATACTTGTTGACTTGTAATCATATAAATATATACATTGTATATCAAAATGTTGTTGAGAGGAGGAGGATTGCTGTTATTAAAGACAGATTTAAGGGTACATGCAAAGCATTCTCATTATGAATGTGAACATTTTCACTCCCAAGCCTCTACTTTCTACATTGACTCCCAGTGACCATTTTCATATTGTAAGATTGTGAAATTTACATAAAAAGGCCAGAATTTCAAATAGCGGAAGTTTCATTTTCCAAAAAACAAGGCCAAATACCAATAATATTTCAGAATGATTTTTGTTGAGTATTTTGAGTTCACTAATGGGTGAATGCTACTACTATAACTGTGGAAGTGGACATTAATGCTTCTGTGAGTTAATGCTGTGAGTAGATTAAATCTGGAGGAATGTAAAAATGCATGATATGAACTTGATACATGGTCTATTTTATCATGGCTTTACAGAGTCTTTAGCTTCTAGTAAACTTCAAATTGTAATTATTTTTTGATATTTAATATATTTTTTAAAATTCTGGAAAATCAATCTTGAAATACTTTTGTTGTTCTGTATGTTAATGATGTAAAGGTTTTGAGTGCTGTGTAGAACGAGAAATGATTATCATGTGAATATTGTGTTGCCAAGAGTTTTTCATACATAACTCAACTATAACAATGCTGTAATGAGGATTTCTGTGTTTTGTTTTCTGTGAAAGCTAGGTCTTTTTATACTTAATTTTTGTATACAATGAAAAAAAATCGGTATCCTCATAGAACTTTGATAATGTGTGTGTGTGTGTGTGCATGCGTGTGTGTGTGTGTGTTGTACATGAGAGTATTACTTCCTGTTGTATTCAGGCAATGTTGGTAGTAACATATTACATAGGTTGTATATAGGCGATTTTCATATTCCTATTTTTTATAGCTATTTATCTGTTTTAATCATTTAGGCCAAATGTTTGATATAAATAATTTCATTGTGATTTATTGGTTTGCTTTTATATTTTTCACATGTTGAATTTTATGTTTGCTCTATGTTGTAACATTTACCGTGTTAGCAGGTTTTCCAAGTGGCTACATATAACACAAGTCTTTACTGGTACTGATATTGTCACAAAGCTTTATTAAACAGTCTGGACAATAGGATGAGTACTAGTAATTATCAATAATATAAAAAAGTTGGTAATGTTTTTTAATTGAAAACAATGAATAAAAATCCCTTTTTCGGCGATTTCGGAAAGAAGAGTGGATGAGATTTTTTTAAAAAAGGATTGATATTCATATACTAATCAGAATAATAAAATACTGCAACAAGAAAATATGCTGAAATTTTATGTGTGAGGCTTTACAACAAGTTTCAGATATGCTTCAGTTAGTTATGGCCTTTCTGACAGAGTTATGGGCCATGGAACTTGAATTATATGGGGAAAAAATCTTTTTTCTATTGTGTCTATAGATAATGAGCTGAAAGCTGGTGTATATATAGCATTACAGATCAAGTTTTATCTTTCCTTAGTACAAATTTTTATATTTTTTTTAAAAATCTGTAATAAAGTAATTATATACTTTTCAACTCGCTACTAAACACCAAAAACAACCTCCTAATAAGACAGTAATAACAGTGTAATACCAGTAATTTGTGATGGTCGTTAGGGTACATGCTGCACCAATAGTCATAATGTTTGATAATTATAAAATGGCTATGAAAAAGTTGCCTTTAAGTAACAGATACATCAGGTAGATGGCCTTGAGTCTACTAAAAAGTATACTATATAGTGAGAAAGTAACCATTAAAATATCAGTTAAATAAGTTGTTAGCAAATCTTCCCAGAAGCATAATTATCTTTTGTAGAGTAAAATAAACAAATATTTAGTTGCATATCATTCCAATTAGAAGCTGGACAACTGATTAGCGTTTCAGGAAATCAGTGACTCAAGAAATAGTCATTTTTGAAACAGTAATTGTTTTAATTAATCTGTTACTGATATTATGATTCTTCAAACTATGGTTTTTCACTTCAGTATTTAGTGATGAACAGATGATGTTGAAAATTATGTTCCTTGTTGTATGTGGCCATGCTTGTCATAGTGACATTGTTGTATGTAGCTATTTCATGTATTAGTAACCTTGTTGTATGTAGCTATTTCTTGTCTTAGTAACCTTGTTGTATGTAGCTATTACTTGTCTTAGTAACCTTGTTGTGTGTAGCTATTTCTTGTCTTGCTAACCTTGTTATATGTAGCTATTTCTTGTCTTAGTAACCTTGTTGTATGTAGCTATTTCTTGTCTTGGTAACCTTGTTGTATGTAGCTATTACTTGTCTTAGTAACCTTGTTGTATGTAGCTATTACTTGTCTTAGTAACCTTGTTGTATGTAGCTATTACTTGTCTTGGTAACCTTGTTGTATGTAGCTATTACTCGTCTTGCTAACCTTGTTGTACGTGGCTATTGCTGGTCTTAAAACAGTTTTTTTGTGTTGCTTTTGCTCGTTTTAGTAAGCTTATTGTATGTGACTATAGTGTCACAGTAAGCTTGCTGTAAAGCTCATGATGGTGAGCTTGCTTTACAGAAGTAAGAACCATGCATTATAAGAGACAAGTTGTACTACATCTGATATTTCAATATCCAGTAAATTGTGAAAGTTTATAATATACTGATTTGCACTAGTTTTCTTAAATGCACATTAAAAGTTGAATATTGTGATGATGAGAACAATTGTACCTCAGATAAATTCTTGTACTCAACCAGAAGAATGAGTTTTATTGGGTAGAATTTGTAAGGAAACCTCGATATAGCAACTTGTTTGGTGAAGCTTAGTATTCAAAATTTTGATGTTGTCAAATCCTTGACAGGTATTGTCATAGTCCATGCCTTGTGGTAATTATTTTAAATCAGTAACATTTTAGAAATTCTGGTGTCAGAGATTGGGACCACATATTTGTTTTGTTGTGGTGTATGTAAAACTTTTGTGTTGAACATAACATTGTTTGGAGATGATAGGTGAGTGAGGGGGTATTTTATACAGAAAGATGTGATTGATTTTTTTCGTGTCCTTTAGAATACCTTGCATTGCATATTGGTATACCTTTGGGACCACTGTGTATTACATTGCCATGCCTATGTAATATGTTCACAATAACGGTATGAGAAGTTTGTGTTTTTTGCATAAAGGAATTATGATCACTTTTTTTGTTTCATACCCTGTGTATGATCACCTCAAGACAGGAAAACTTTGTGTGTTTTGCTGATATAGAAATATGTTATCACAATCGAGGTATGCAAAGTGTGTGTTTAGTTATAACACATATATATGATGTAATGTGTACCAGTTTTATTTTGTCATGTGTTGTCAAATTTGGAATTATATGAATAATATGAGACAGGTCATATTTGAAACATTGAAGAGTCAGAACTACTACTATATGATTAACAGTACATTTTTTCAATTATGATTGGTAAGTTCAATAAGCGAAAAAAAATTAATTATATGGTATGAGATCACGACCATGAAAATAAGTGCATGTGCCAAGGTACTGTATATATCTGACAATAAGCCCAGGGGTAGACAGTCGCCTGTAAGAGGTAGACTTATTATCGGGGAAGGAAGCAATACCATAGATTATGCTGGGCACAGACTTATGTAATGGTTATGATATTGTGCTCTTGTGCCAATGTAACTTTTGTTTATTATGTTCAGATTTCATCAAAAGTACAAGTCAACTTTTGGCGATCAAACTATTTCATTTTTCTTTTTCTTATGATTACCACCATATCCAAAGACTTGAAATATTAAAAGAGTGACGTCTGCTTGAATGATTTTGATTTTCCGATAATGTTATGACTTATTGAACAAAATTTGATGAAAAGTCACAAATGTTGAGAGATGTTATGTTTACAAAAAATACCCTATCTGAAGTTTTTTGAAGTGTCTGTCCATGTGTATGTTATTTTGAAACTATATGAATGTGGAGTGTAAGTACTAAGCATTATGAGTTTTTTGTTTTGTTTTGAGAACTATGTCAAGTTCGCTGTTGTAAATATTCCTCCCTTAACACAAAAAAATAGTCACTATATTTGAAAAAATAAAAAAATGTTTTTTATACCATTTCTTTAGCGTGTTTACGTTTTTAGCAGATGCAAGGTTAGCATAAGCATGACTAAGGTGTTGATTTTTCTGTAGAAAGTGGTATCCACACCTATTGTCTTGTATCAATACTCCAGCAACCAAATCTGTTATAGGGAAATACCATGGTAAGGTGTTGTCCTTTTGTCATAAACTTTATATGTCAGATCTCCTCCCACAAACTTGGTAACCTTAATTACCATGACATGAAGTTGTATTTTTAGACGGAGCACTTTGACTCTACACCTTTTTAAAAAGGGTTATAGCCAATTTATTTTAGCATTTCAATTTTGAATGGGGATCTCCTTCGGTTGTTTTTCTCTAATTTCCCTGAAACATGGTAGGTTTTATAATCATTACATAAGATTGTGTTACCCATAAAGCCATTGTGAATTTGCCCTCAAAGTTTCTGTCTTGTCCTGGTATCTCTTCCCTTTTTATAGAACCATTTTTTTAAAACTTGGTAGGATTCAAAACCACAAGTGATTGTTTAATCGGCGTACACAGCATATTTGTTCAACAATATTTGGAAAAATTGTTGCAATTTTGTTTATGGACGTATTTTAAACTTGCCCCGAGATTTCTTTGTTTCTACACATATCTTTAAAACTTTGTACACATTAATTTATCATACAGCATTGTTTTCCATCATTACATTTTCATTACCTTTTACAGTTCTCATATTTAGGTTGTTTTTTATTTTAAAAAATCACGAATATTATTTAGGCATTATACAGGCATATGTTTGCCCAAAGGAAGGTAGAGTTCTTGTTTTGAGAGTCGT